TATATACCGACCCTCCTCTACACACTGACTCTCCTCTACACACCGACCCTTGTCTACATGCCAACCCTCTCCACCACCAATTGCCGCTCACACCATTTTGTCATGGCAGAAGAAACGGTTGTCAGAAGAAGGTCACGAAGCCTAGCCGAGCAGTGCTAAATATATTATACTAGCAAAACTAACATGGCGCCGGTGATAAACAACGCTTACTAGGAGAATGTGTATGATGGGTTTGTGCAAAGCGATAGACTCTATACTTTATTGTTGTTGTTTTTTTTTTGTTGGGGTGGGGCGTGGGGGGGGGGTCAATCCCAAAGGCCTTGAGTGAAAGAATGGTGGAATTGTGAAGGAACGCCCGTCTCGGATGCCATCTTCACATTCAAACTGTTAAAATATTTTAGAGTTCTCACGCAACATATGTAGGCTAATTTGGGCATAAAGATTTTTTGGACGAGGGCGCCTAAATTTAGACTTACACCGGGCGCAGCTTCTGCTTGCCTTGACCCTGCCAGTGAATATTTCACTTATGACAGGCTGGGTAACTTGCCCTACGCCTACTCTGTAATCGTTCCCTAATCTGTAAACGTGACCTTCTCTTTGTACATCAAATTAAATTGTTTTGAAATTAAAATGATTTGCATATTACTTTTAGAATGGGCTAAACTTATACAAGAATGGTCAAATAATACACACTCCTACTACTGTAGGGGAACGCATTCATAAACATCATACAAGCCTTTCTTATTTTACATGCATATCTTGCCTCTTATGTTACATATCTATAGTTTTCCTCTTATTTGACATACATATTTTGTCTCTTATTTTAAATAATTATCTCGCCAACTATTTGGAGACATATCTTAACTCTTATTAGTACACTTATATCTTGCAGTGTTATTTTTTAAAAAAAATAATTAAAATGCCACTTGCGCACAAATCTTCCTGACCCCACATGACTGCTTTGTCACTATGAGTAGAGCATGTTGCGATGCAAGCTAAAAGTGGGTCATAGAACTCAACTGAACCATTTGTACAAGATGGGACTTCTAAAGCTCACGTATGGTCATAGAACGTTTGTTAAAGCTCACAACGCTCCTGTATGGACGGGCTGCTGATACAATACGGGCATATGTGCACGCGGAGTTTAGGACTGAGTGCACCACATCTACAAGGTAGTCTATGGGAAGTCAACATATATATAAGGTGATCTTTAGTTAGTGGCCACATACATAAGGATTCAACTTATTCAATGATAACTTAAATTTCATTAACACGTGTTGTCATTGTGTAAGTATGTAATCAGTGTGTAAGTATGTAATCAGTGTGTAGGCATGTAATCAGTGTGTTAGCATTGTGTAAGTATGTAATCAGTGTGTACGTATGTAATCAGTGTGTAAGTATGTAATCAGTGTGTTAGTATGTAATCAGTGTGTAAGCATGTAATCAGTGTGTTAGCATGTAATCAGTGTGTAAGAATGTAATCAGTGTTAGTATGGGTTAGTCCCTTACACTTTAGGAAACCACAGTATCAGCTCGTAACTAATTGAATAACCCGTGACACACATTTCACAACAAACTCATCTTATTGCCCAACTTGTTTCATATAGCATTGACTTTTTGCATAAATATAACAGACTAAAATGTATATGCACCTCTGTTCCATATTTTGGCTTTAATTTAATTATCATAAGCAGGTGATAATAAATCAACCACTCCGTAATCACCTCACACTAACTTGGTCCACACTCCGTGCTCACCTCCATCTACACTTGGTCCACACTCCATGCTCACCTCCATCTACACTTGGGCCACACTCCGTGCTCACCTCCATCTACACTTTGTCCGCACTCCGTACTCACCTCCATCTACACTTGGTCCACACTCCGTGCTCACCTCCATCTACACTTGGTCCGCACTCCGTACTCACCTCCCACTAACTTGGTCCACACTCCGTACTCACATCCCACTAACTTGGTCCACACTCCATACTCACCTCCATCTAACTTGGTCCACACTCCATACTCAACTCCATCTAACTTGGTCCGCACTCCGTACTCACCTCCATCTAACTTGGTCCACACTCCATACTCACCTCCATCTACACTTGGTCCGCACTCCGTACTCACCTCCCACTAACTTGGTCCACACTTCGTACTCACCTCCCACTAACTTGGTCCACACTCCGTACTCACCTCCATCTAACTTGGTCCACACTCCATACTCACCTCCATCTAACTTGGTCCGCACTCCGTACTCACCTCCCACTAACTTGGTCCACACTCCGTACTCACTTCCCACTAACTTGGTCCACACTCCGTACTCACTTCCCACTAACTTGGTCCACACTCCGTACTCACCTCCATCTAACTTGGTCCACACTCCATACTCACCTCCATCAAACTTGGTCCGCACTCCGTACTCACCTCCATCTAACTTGGTCCGCACTCCGTACTTACCTCCAACTAACTTGGTCCACACTCCATACTCACCTCCCACTAACTTGGTCAACACTCCGTACTCACCTCCCACTAACTTGGTTCACACTCCGTACTCACCTCCATCTAACTTGGTCCGCACTCCGTACTCACCTCCATCTAACTTGGTTCGCACTCCGTACTCAACTCCCACTAACTTCGTCCACACTCCGTACTCACCTCCCACTAACTTGGTCCACACTCCGTACTCACCTCCCACTAACTTGGTCCACACTCCGTACTCACCTCCCACTAACTTGGTCCACACTCCGTACTCACCTCCCACTAACTTGGTCCACACTCCGTACTCACCTCCATCTAACTTGGTCAACACTGCGTACTCACCTCCATCAAACTTGGTCCGCACTCCGTACTCACCTCCCACTAACTTGACACTCACTCCCTCACTCCCTCCCTCCCTAACTCACTCATTCACTCCATCCCTCATACACTCTCACCCTCACTCACTCACACACACACACACACTCACTCACTCACTCACTCCCACTAACTTGGTCCACATTCCGTACTCACCTCCCACTAACTTGGTCCACACTCCGTACTCACCTCCCACTAACTTGGTCCACACTCCATACTCACCTCCCACTAACTTGGTCCGCACTCCGTAATCACCTCCCACTAACTTGGTCCACACACCGTACTCAACTCCATCTAACTTGGTCCACACTCTGTGCTCACTTCCCACTAACTTGGTCCACACTCCGTACTCACCTCCCACTAACTTGGTCAACACTCCGTACTCACCTCCCACTAACATGGTCCGCACTCCATACTCACCTCCATCTAACTTGGTCCGCACTCCGTACTCACCTCCATCTAACTTAGTCCGCACTCCATACTCACCTCCCACTAACTTGGTCCACACTCCGTACTCACTTTCCACTAACTTGGTCCACACTCCGTACTCACTTCCCACTAACTTGGTCCACACTCCGTACTCACCTCCATCTAACTTGGTCAACACTGCGTACTCACCTCCATCAAACTTGGTCCGCACTCCGTACTCACCTCCCACTAACTTGGTCCACACTCCATACTCACCTCCCACTAACTTTGTCCACACTCCGTACTCACCTCCCACTAACTTGGTTCACACTCTGTACTCACCTCCCACTAACTTGGTCCGCACTCCGTACTCACCTCCATCTAACTTGGTTCGCACTCCGTAATCACCTCCCACTAACTTGGTCCGCACTCCGTACTCACCTCCCACTAACTTGGTCCGCACTCCGTACTCACCTCCCACTAACTTGGTCCGCACTCCGTACTCACCTCCCACTAACTTGCTCCGCACTCCGTACTCACCTCCCACTAACTTGGTCCGCACTCTGTACTCACCTCCCACTAACTTGGTCCGCACTCTGTACTCACCTCCCACTAACTTGGTCCGCACTCTGTACTCACCTCCCACTAACTTGGTCCGCACTCTGTACTCACCTCCCACTAACTTGGTCCGCACTCCGTACTCACCTCCCACTAACTTGGTCCGCACTCCGTACTCACCTCCCACTAACTTGGTCCGCACTCCGTACTCACCTCCATCTAGCTTGGTTCGCACTCCATCGCGTCATTTGACAGTGCCACACACCTCTATCTTTAGCTTAATATCTTGGTATTCCACAATCATGATCTTCTTTTTATTTTACACCACATTCATGATATTTCCTTTATGTTGCACTACAATCATGATATTCCCTTTATGTTACACTAAATCATGATATTCCCTTTATGTTGCGCCGCAATCATGATATTTTGCGTCACAATCAATAAAAAAAATTTCTTTGAAACACCACAATCATGATATTCCTTTTATGTTGCGCCACAATATGATATTCCTTTTATGTTACACCACAATCATGAAATTCCCTTTATGTTGCGCCACAATCATGATATTCCCTTTATGTTGCGCCACAATCAATACAAAAAATTGCTTTGAAACATTTCTATTTCTTTATAGGGAGCCTGTCAGTGACGTTAACTTTCTCCACAAAATGATGAAAGCCACTTGAAATAAGAGACGTTAGAGACCTACAATAAGTGATGTTAGAGTCCTACAATAAGTGATGTTAGAGACCTACAATAAGTGATGTTAGAGACCTACAATAAGTGATGTTAGAGACCTACAATAAGTGATGTTAGAGACCTACAATAATTGATGTTAGAGACCTACAATAAGTGATGTTAGAGACCTACAATAAGTGATGTTAGAGACCTACAAGAAGTGATATCAACGACCTTCTTTAAATGGGGATATACAAAAAACTTAAATCGCTTGGTCGTGTCTAACTCATCGCTTGGTCGTGGTTAACTCATCGCTTGGTTGTGGCTAACTCATCGCTTGGTAGTGGCTAACTCCTCACTTGGCCATGACTATATTATAACTCATCGCTTGGTCGTGGCTAACTCCTCGCTTGGTCGTGGCTAGCTCGCCAAATCTACACAACTAACTCATTGTCGGCATTGGCCTCAAAGTCACTTAAGATCTTTGACTTACCAGCTGGCTCAATGTCCTTGTCAGAGCTACATGGGTTTATTCTTAACAATGACATTGAAAAAATCATATCACTTATCAATCGGGGAGCAGACGTCAACGCTGTGACCAGTCATGAAACGGCATTTACCCGTGCTGTGCAGGAGCGTCGCCTGGAAGTCGTTGATATCATCCTCAATTGTAATTCATTTAACCCTAATGCACTGAACCAATTTTCCCGATCGCCACTTTTCATGGTATCAAAAAGCAACCTTGTTGATAAAGTGAGAACACTCTTGCAGTTAGGCGCCGAAGTAGATGCAGCAGATCTACAAGGAGTGACCCCGTTGAGCATAGCGGCTTGGTATAACAATTATGAAATTGCCGATGCCCTGATTGAACACGGAGCCTTGATGACTCGTGCTGACAGTGCCGGTCTGACGCCCCTTCACAGGGCATGCTGCAATGCCAGCCTGGATGTCGTTAAAGTCCTACTTCGTCATGGGTGTAATGTCAACGCGGTGTCACCGGACATGCGCACTTCACTGACGTTATCCCTTCCGACTTACTACAACCTAAAAGTGGGTAAAAAGAAAATGACCGACATGCTGTCCATTTGTGAACTGATCATCGACGCCGGCTGTGATATGAATAAGCAGGACGCCAAAGGGTGGACAGCACTTCACCACGCTGTGCAAAATGACAGCGCACCGGCCGTGTGCCTTCTTGCCGAACGAAACTGCCGCTTAGAGCTGAGAAACGAACAGGGTTTCACCCCATTACAACAATGCCTTAAGCTCAATAGATTCAGTCTTGCAACATATCTACTATATTATGGAGCAGACGTGACTGAAGCCATGCCTTATTTGGACAGACATGTGTGTCCACTGATTTATCTGCTCTTTATTCAGTCAGAATCGGACAAATTGTTATTGAATTCAAAATTTCGACTTGCACGCTTACTATGTGAGGCCCAATTACCTCCCGTATTTGATGAGCAAGGCGCCACGACCTGTTTGAAAGCTGACGAGACGTGTGTCAAGTATGTTGAACTCGAAGATGTGCATAGATGGCTTGAGAACCGCTCGCCGTGTTCTCTGCAGCATCAGATCAAAGTCCGGATTAGGAGAACGATGAAAGGTTCCAACATTTTACCGAAAATCCGCCAACTCCCGATCGGAAATAATCTCAAACAGTTTCTTAACCTTGGCCTCGGTTTAGACAACCTCGAGCTCTTCAAACTCTGTCGTCTGCACGCTTCCATTGTGGAGTTTGATCAGAATGAAATTGATGAAATTCTGCAAACTAATTTAAACATTGATGTTCCTATTGACGAAAAGACGGCATTGGAACTGGCCACACATGTATCGAACAGAGGTGCCGTGGAGGCTATATGGAAGCGACTGTCTTGTTCTAGCTTGGTTGATATGAGTGCTACTTCAAGGGATACATTGCTATACAAAGCTACTCCCAGGGATACATTGCTACTCAAAGCTACCTCTAGGGATACATTGATACACATAGCTGCCAGAAATGGAACGTTTCCAGCTTTAGAAGACTTTCTCACCCTAGAAAATGTAAACGCACAGAACTCTGACGGCTCCACTCCGCTGCACTTGGCAGTAGCAAATGGACACTTCAAGACGGCCGAGCGACTTGTTAACAACGGTGCTACGCTAGCAGAACGCGTTGGTGACCTCCCCATGATGCACCTGGCTGCCGGCAGTGGGGCTGCAGACTTCGTGGATCTGTTGTTGTCTAAAGGAGTGGATCCGAATCTGCTAGATCAGTACGGGAACACTCCACTGCATGTTGCAGCGTCCAAGGTAACTGAGATTTTCTCACAAATTAGTAAGTCCTGTGGATTTATCCAACCATTAAATATATCCATTTATCCCACAATCTGTATGTCGTTATTATCCATCAGTATGTATGTCTTTTATATCCACCAATATATATGTCATTTATATCCATCAGTATGTCGTTTATATCCATCAGTATGTATGTCATTTAAATCCATCATCGTGTCGTTGATATCCATCAGTATGTATGTCGTTTATATCCACCAGTATGTATGTCATAAATATCCATCATTATGTATTTCGTTTATATCCATCATTATGTCGTTTATATCCATCAGTAGGTATGTCGTGTTTATCCATCATTATGTCGTATATATCCACCAGTATGTATGTCGTTTATATCAAGCAGTATGTATGTTGTTTATATCCATCATTATGTCGTTTATATCCATCAGTATGTATGTCGTTTATATCCATCAGTATGTATGTCGTTTATATCCATCAGTATGTATGTCATTTATATCCATTAGTATGTCGTTTATATCCATAAGTATGTATGTCGTTTATATCCATCATGTATATCGTTTATATCCATCATTTTGTATGTCATTTAAATCCATCATTATGTTGTTTATATCAGTATGTACGGCGTTTATATCAATCATGTCATTTATATCTATTAGTATGTCATTTATATTCAACAGTTGTCGATTAATAATTGTTTACAAATTAAAATGGGTCATAATTGGTGTATAAGGTGTTTAGTCAGATGGATAGAGAGGCTCATTTGTGGGTGTATAACAATGTCATGGCAGATGGATAGAGAGGCTCATTTGTGGGTGTATAACAATGTCATGTGCAGATGGATAGAGAGGCTCATTTGTGGGTGTATAACACTGTCATGGCAGATGGATAGAGGGGCTCATGTGTGGGTGTATAACAATGTCATGGCAGATCGATAGAGGGGCTCATTTGTGGGTGTATAACAATGTCATGGCAGATCGATAGAGAGGCTCATTTGTGGGTGTATAACAATGTCATGGAAACAATGTCATGGCAGATGGATAGAGGGGCTCATTAGTGGGTGTATAACAATGTCATGGCAGATGGATAGAGGGGCTCATTTGTGGGTGTATAACAATGTCATGGCAGATGGATAGAGGGGCTCATTTGTGGGTGTATAACAATGTCATGGCAGATGGATAGAGGGGCTCATTAGTGGGTGTATAACAATGTCATGGCAGATGGATAGAGGGGCTCATTTGTGGGTGTATAACAATGTCATGGCAGATGGATAGAGGGGCTCATTAGTGGGTGTATAACAATGTCATGGCAGATGGATAGAGGGGCTCATTTGTGGGTGTATAACAATGTCATGGCAGATGGATAGAGGGGCTCATTAGTGGGTGTATAACAATGTCATGGCAGATGGATAGAGGGGCTCATTAGTGGGTGTATAACAATGTCATGGCAGATGAATAGAGGGGCTAATTAGTGGGTGTATAACAATGTCATGGCAGATGGATAGAGGGGCTCATTAGTGGGTGTATAACAATGTCATGGCAGATGAATAGAGGGGCTCATTAGTGGGTGTATAACAATGTCATGGCAAATGGATAGAGGGGCTCATTAGTGGGTGTATAACAATGTCATGGCAGATGGATAGAGAGGCTCATTAGTGGGTGTATAACAATGTCATGGCAGATGGATAGAGAGGCTCATTAGTGGGTGTATAACAATGTCATGGCAGATGGATAGAGGGGCTCATTAGTGGGTGTATTTGTTACAGTACCGTCATGGATAGAGAGGCTCATTAGTGGGTGTATAACAATGTCATGGCAGATGGATAGAGGGGCTCATTAGTGGGTGTATAACAATGTCATGGCAGATGGATAGAGGGGCTCATTAGTGGGTGTATAACAATGTCATGGCAGATGGATAGAGAGGCTCATTAGTGGGTGTATAACAATGTCATGGCAGATGGATAGAGGGGCTCATTAGTGGGTGTATAACAATGTCATGGCAGATGGATAGAGGGGCTCATTAGTGGGTGTATAACAATGTCATGGCAGATGGATAGAGAGGCTCATTAGTGGGTGTATAACAATGTCATGGCAGATGGATAGAGGGGCTCATTAGTGGGTGTATAACAATGTCATGGCAGATGGATAGAGGGGCTCATTTATGGGTGTATAACAATGTCATGGCAGATGGATAGAGAGGCTCATTAATTGGTGTATAACAATGTCATGGCAGATGGATATAGGGGCTCATTAGTGGGTGTATAACAATGTCATGGCAGATGAATGGAGTGTCACAATGCATAGGGTATAAAGGCAGACAGATACATCTGGGCCGGGCACTCGGACACTACATGCTATGCCGGGCACTGGTACACTACATGCTGTGCCGGGTACTCGGGCACTACATGCTGTGCCGGGCACTGGGACACTACCGCAGGCTGTGTCGGTTATGAAAAGTTCCTCTATTAACATGAACATTTTTAAAATTTGTTTTATCTGGAAAGTTAGGGCAAAAATAGAGGTGGGGTGGGGGGGTGTGGCTTAATCTCTTCAATCTCTCCCTTTGTGGCCATATAATGGGTGAGGTGATAATTTGCCGATACTTTGTTACAAATGTGTGGGTGGGTTGGTTACGTTGTCATAAACTCTACAAACTTAACATTGTTCCAGGGTGCCGTGTACCTGAAGAAGGCCACAAGGCTGCCCGCTTTATACAAGGACGAAGCTCTGGAAGCCATTGACATCTGTTCCATGACAGTCACCGGCCGACAGCCGAGCTTAATACGATCAGATGCTAATCACTCCGCAGTCATCCAGTGCTTACTGAGGGCAGGGGCGGACGTAACTTTGACAGATGCCCTGGGTAAGACCCCAGCTAAGTGCGCCCAGGACAGCTCAGCGATAGACTTGTGGAAGTTACTCACATAGTCGATGTATTCAATTATATAATCTATTTCTTCAATCATATGGTCAATGTGTTATTTCATATGGTCGATGTGGTCAATCATATGGTCCATGTGTTCAATCATATGGTCGATGTGTTCAATCATATGGTCGATGTGTTCAATCATATGGTCGATGTGTTCAATGATATGGTCGATGTGTTCAATCATATGGTCGATGTGTTTGATCACTTAGAAACGTGTGAACAAATGGTCGTAGAGCATCGTCTGTGTTACAACGAACGTGCCTTATGTTTGTATATATGTAACTAAATTAAAGAATAAAGTTAAAGGATTTGAATTGTTATTGATCAAGTTATGCAAGGGTGGAAGCCTACAATATTTATATAGATAGTCGTGGTGGGTGGGGATTAGGGAGTGGTGGATGGGCATGGGAGTGGTGGGTGGGGAATGGTGGGTAAGGAGTAGTGAGTAGGGAGTGGTGGGTGGGGAGTGGTGGGTAGGGAGTGGTGAGTAGGGAGTCGTGGGTAAGCTTTGGGGAGTGGTAGTGGGAGTGGTGTAGTGAGTAGGAAATGGTGTGTGGGGAGTGGTGGGTAGGGAGTGGTGAGTAGGGAGTGGTGGGTAGGGAATGGTGGATGCTGAGTAGGGAGTGGGGGGTAGGGAGGGAGTGGTGAGTAGGGAGTGGTGGGTGGAAGCCTAGATTACTTATATATGTAGTTGTTGGGGGTTGGTAGTGGTTGGGCAGTACAGTTTTAAATTTATTTTACAATTTACAACCACAAGTTGCGCTTGAGATCTATTGAACTATTTGTTCATAAAATGCGGTAACCAGAAACAGAAAACTAAAAAGCAAAATATCTGAAAAGATAGATGTAGATATATATAATTTTTTTATTATATATATATATATATATATTACACGTTATTTAAAGTGTTAAAGTGATAAATATTTTATTATATATAACTAGTAATAACCTTGGATAAGAAATATTTTACGCGTTATTTAAAGGATGGCAATTATTGAATAAACATGGGAGATAACTCTGGAGTTAATGGGCTATTCAAGGTATGACAAACGTACATAACTAACAATGAACATATTTTTCATAACGAGCTATAATCATGCTGGATAATAAAGTTGAACAGCAACAATGATAAATTATAATAGTAGACTCAACATGAGTGTCCAAAGGGCAAGTAAAATAAACCCTATGGGCTTGAGGCAACTTTCGGGGGGTGGGGGTGCAGCGTTGTTCCAAATATGTGGGGGAATGGGGTTTCTGATATATATATAGTTGGTTCCTGATTATAAGCAACACCCTTCTTCCTGTTGTTCACATATCACCCCGGAATTGTTATTTTCTGCAATATCCATAGATTGTTTTAGAAGAGTGCTGCCTTTACCCGGAAAAAGTGTTCCCTTTACCCGGAGCAAGTGCTGCCCTTATCCGGAGCTAGTGTTTCCTTACCAACTGCAAGTGTTGCCTTTAATCGGAGCACAACGAAATTCAACAATCTTTCCATCGCAATCAAGCAGTCATTCTCAACCCTCTTAATGCCGCGACCCTTTAATACAGTTCCTCATTTTGTGGTGACCCTCAACCATACGATTATTTTTGTTGCTACTTCATAAATATGTGTTTTCTGATGGTCCTAGGCGACCCTTGTGTAAGGGTCTTTCGACCCCCGCTGGTCTACGGGATGGGCGAAGAAGCCAAGATTGGTTAATAATATTTGAAGCTATAAAATTCATAACTAAATGGGACTTCTTAGATTCTCTCGTAGCCCTCTCATTAAACCTACAATTATTAACGCGATATGCATATCTGTGGCTTTATGTAAGAGAAGCTTTTTAAAAAAATAAATCTTTAGAAAGAGTGTATTTGCGATTTACTATTAAATAATTCAGTATTTATGGTTTTGCGATTGTGTCAGTTGAAAGTGATAAGGTGAAGGACTGATAACGTAATTGACAGGACTTAGGGATTGACAGGTTTGATGAATTGATTGACAGGATTGATGAAGTGATTGACATGATTGCTATCGCTATTGACAGGATTGTTAAAGTGATTTACAGAAATGCATCTTTGAAAACCTGAAAAATAAAGATTAAAATGTAAGATTAATGATTCAATAAAATAATTTAGATGAATTAATTTTTTAAACGTGGTTACCTCAAATAATTTTTTTTTATTTTTTGCTTTGCGACTTAATTTACAAACATTATAATGAGATATTCTGACTGATCTGTTTAAGAATGATCGAAAGGGGGGCGGCGGACACCATGACTTACCGCACTGGGTGACACCAGCAATAGTGACGCCTCAGGATGCCCCTTCTGAATATACGAGGCTTGAGTCCCGCAGGAACGGATGAAAATGGCGTTCCCGTATTTTAATTTTTTACTAAGAATTAAAAACATATTTATTTTTGGAAGGGAATGGGCAATCTTAGGGACCCCCCAGTAGTAAAAAAAACAACAAAAAAACAAAAAAAAACAAACAAAAAAAAAACAAAACCCACCACGATTTATCTACCATGGCACAATTTGATGTAACGCAGTTATCCTCCCTGCTCCATTTTCTCGATTTCTGGTCCTTATTTTTATTCAAATATTTGAGCAACATCGAGATATGCCAAGTTTATACAAAAAATGTGTTAAATTCCGAAATTCATTTTGCTTACTCTCATACATTTTGTTTTTAAATTTAAAAAATCAACCCTAGGGAGCATCAGTTCCCGTTGACACGATACGCACGTGACTGACCTTGTCAGAAAAAAAAAGTCTCTGTGTTGTGCCAGATTTTTAAAGTCTTTCTTCCTACTGACAAATCCATTAAAATAGTCACACGAGACCTTCTCGACAGGGTTGAACGCATCTGGCTCATACTGACCTCTAAGCTTGCATCTGAGTTGCTGACGCTACTGTCGCTGAGTGGGAGCTCTGGTTACCTTGGAACAAAGGAAGTGGGTGAGGTAATTGGGGTAATGAGAGATGAAAAAATAAGAAAAATGGATTTTAACAATAAAACAATATTTTTAGAAACTTAAAACGCATCAAATTTAAAATGTAGAAAATAATTTACAATTTCTAAAAATGAAAAAATTCTTTTAAAAAAAAGTTTTTATTAAATTATTTTAAAATTAATTTGATGTCTTTTTCAGCATCAGATCAGTTGTTAATTTTAGAGAAAATAAATCCTTTGGCGATAATTTACAGATTAAGCTTTTCATACTAAAAAATAGAGACTAAAAAGGTTAAAAAAAAAAAAACAAAAAAAAACTACCTTTAAAAAAAAGAGAGAGACTTTCTTTTGAAGATAAGTTTTAAAAAGATGAACATAATTTTAAATATCTTAAATCGCAAACAACCTCCTCCACATCTACCACCCCCAACCCCTATTAAGAATGTTTCTGTCCACTACTGTCCTTTACAACCATTAGAAAAGATCCCAAGCTGTGGATATCGAATAACTTCAACTGTGTCAGAAACATTTCACTAGAACAATGGTTTTTAACCCGGGGTAAACCTACCTTTTTTGGATTGTAAGGCCATGAAATTTGCTCTTTTTTGCTGCCCTAAAAAAAAAAAAAAAAAAAAAAATCTGTTTGTGCATTTTGATTGGGAGCAGTAAATGTTTTTTCCGGTGTTTTTTTTTTCTTCTGCGTATTACTTGTTGAAGTTTTTTAATTTTAAAATAACAGTATAATTTATTCAGGGTGCGGGTTGTGGGGAATGTTTGAAATTATTGAGAGAGGATGCAGCGCTGCAAAAAAATAAAAATAAATTTTTAAAAGTTAAGAATTGTTGTCATACAACATTTGCAAAATCACACCTCTCCCCCCACCCATTTCAATAATTTTTCGTTCTAATCCAATTCTCGTGGTAGTCCTGGACACCCGTCTCCACATTTAGACATAAAGTCCCTTCCCCCAATCCTCTACTTTTTACACACTTTTAAGTCAAATTAAATCGCTAAATGATCTTTGATCTTTTACAAATGCATTGCCAGTATGTGTAGCACAATGCCCCTGTAAGCATGAAGCCCCAGAAGCGCGAGGTCCTGGCAATTACCCAATATGCCGATGGTGTTAACCAGTAAATTGGGGTAAATTGTGTCACAACATACAGTTTGGAAAGTACTGCGCCACGGCCTTGCAAAAAGTTTATCAAAAGGAATTAGAAGGGAAATCACTCTACTCAAGATCAAAAAAATCCTTACATCCGGGCACTAACCTTCCATGTTGACGATTGAAGGACAAACATTTTAACAAAATGTTGTCATTGTTTAGATCAGGTTAGTGGTTGTCGGCTTCATAAGAAGTGAATACTTGTAACCTTGGTCATACCGTAACCTCTTTGACTAAGCAAAAAATTTTAGGCATTCGTAAATTTTATATTTAAGGAATAATAAAGTTAAGTTTTCTATTGCATTTGCAATCTCTAGACTCCCTACTTGAAGAAATAGAAATCCAAGCCCAAGTAACAAGTTCAATAAAAAAAAAGACAAAAATAATATTTAATTAAGTTCAACAGGCCCTGCTAATGGTAGGCCAAACATTTAAGCCTAACTGTATGACTTGAAGTAGAGAAAGTATTCTTGTTTTAGTTTCTGTTGATTCAACACAACGTGTTAGTCTGGTGTTTGGCTAAAATGCAGTTAGCGGCAGGGCCAGTGATGTCTTCCATGAAAAGAGGGGGAAATTTATAAAAAACGCTTGAACTTACTGTTTTTGTAAACTTATATTTTAAAAAATGTTTTTAAATTTTCATCAAAGTGCCTAACCCTAGTAACTTCCGGTAAGCATTTTGTAAATTAGGGACTTCAGCATCTTTCTAGAAAGCGCCGGACGTATATCTCCAGCACTATTCGTCCGGCGACCAAGTCACATGACCGCCGTAACAAAGTGGGGAGAGATATTTTGTCCATCAGCCTTGTCACATGACCGCGAATGATTCAAAACTATTGTTAATTTTAAAAATCTATTTAAAATTTAATTTCTCTACCAAGTAATGTACTGAGTATCTTGCATGCAAATAATAGAAAAAAACTGAAGTGAAAGTCGCTTGTAAAAATTTTTGTTTATTTTGTTATTTGAGTTTGTGTACCAGTAATCCATAAAATAAATAAGGGGCCAGTATTCAGTATGGAGTAGGCAACCAATAAAAGTAAAAGATTTAATTTCAAATTGTTTAAATTGCTACAAAATATTTTAAAACTTCTCATAAAACTACTGTTGCTGATGAACATGATAATATAAATATAATATAAAATATTTTTAATTAAAATGGGGAAAAAAAACAAGATCCCATACTGGGCATTGATCCACACACATATAATATCGTCAAGCGACAACTCTACCACAAGACCACACAAGATTTTCTAATGTGCACTTTGTTCGAAATAATGACTACTAGTCGTCCGGTGGTCACGTGACATGCCCGCTGGACGTATATCACGCTCACTATTTGTCGTGTAGACACTTGGTTCTAGAAAACTCTGAAATTCATGCAGTATAATTTGGTAAATTTTGAGTTAACGGTATGTGTTTAGCCAAGAGTTTTCTCACCTTAAGCGCAGTGATATCAATTGGGGAATCCCAACACTGGACTTAGGGTCAATAGATCTATTCTTTGAAGGACCCGAGTGTTATAACATTCCTGTTCTTTCTTGAGCATTATTTGCATCATAAACGATATGGTTAATATGAAGTATATTGAAATGAAATTTTCCATATTGATTTGTAATAAATTCAACGTACATGTTTCAAAAGAAAGGAAGTAAGAAACATATCCTTGCTGATACCCCAAGAACCAACTCTGGTGAAGAAAAAAAAGACGCCCGCCAAAATTGCTGTAACAAATAGTTGAATCAAAATACCTGTATGTTGAAACTTGGGTAACAAAAGGAAGACTATTAATTATTAAATTGTATTTGGAATGATCTTCTAGGAACGCTTTAAATACAAAAATAAGAAACATAGAAACTCTCTGGGTACCCTCCCCAGTACTCCTCCCCAATTTAACAAAAAATTTAAAATAAGAAAACAATAACTTGCATTATGTAAATACAAACATCGAAATCTTTTTAGTATGGCACTATAGACCGCGCTGTAGATAGAGATGAACCCGGGGGAACCTCCATGACCTATATACCATGGAACACATCGTCGGCCTTAGCGCTAACTCAAAACCAGCTGTATAATTTTGTTGTCTTAAAGGCAAACTTCAATTTTCAATTTACCAATGGTTTTTATTTTTTTTTCAACTTTTATATTCTATTAGCCTATAATACAAGCTTGATTCAATTATAAGGCATTTCGGTAAAGCAAGGGAAACTACTTCAAAATATGCTTGGGAAATTGTAGTGGGTGCAGAAGAATCCAAGTTTTAAATTTTCAGGCATTGCTGCTTTTCCATTATTAAAATGACTATTTTATCATTAACTTGTGACATCCTTCCACTTGTTCACAATAAGGGACATCCTACATTCCAACTTACTGTTTTGCCTTTTTGATCCACTTTAATTTTGGAAACTCGTCATAGGTAGCCTATATATAAGGCATCTTTGCCTAAGAAATTTTTGATTAAGCTCAAAATAAAGGTCTTTCATGTCAAATATAGAAAAAAATTATATATTTAAATATACTTGAGCCTATTCTCATTGATGTAAATGTAGGTTGTGTCTGACATTCATTATGCTTATCCCAGTAACCTGCATTATCATAAGGTCGCTCAGACCAATTTTGACCAAGTTGCAGTCCACACCCCCCTTTTAATAGCGGAAGATGCTGATACTTAGGAATTATTCAATTATTACCATTATTCTTATCAAAATATTTGATAACTTGCATTTTAGAATGAACTTAGAAGTAATTTAAACCAGAATATATTAATTGCAGGTTTAAAGCCACATAATAGTCCATATAATAAATTATCACAATTTGCAGTCGGTATATGTTGTCATGGGCAAACACAATTCACAGTCGCTTGCGCAATAGCTCTACTTTATAGTATTGTTCTCAGAGTTTCATTCATAAGAGATTTCGGTGTGACCATTGGTCAGGGGACATCTTCAATTAATTAGTTATGTGCCAACATTGAAAGTTTAAAATAATTATTTTATTGACCAAGGCGTTGTTCCTTTATTTTTCTAAACACACAATTTGCTTTTCTTACCTAAGAGTTTTTATTGTAACCTTGGACAGGTGCACTTAGGGGAGCTTTTCAAGGTCATGGAATTGTTAAGGTTATGTCCGCTGTTCCTGCACGAGGTGAGAAAACATTCACTAGAGAAGAACGCATTGAACAATGGGATTACGTCAACAGTGTTTACTTTGGCCCTGAGAGGGACATGAAGAACTTCCCAACTCTTGTACAGGCAGACAGTCCAGAGCCTGTAAGGTTAGGCGTCATCCCAGCCCGTTGGTTTGACTTCTTATACCCCAAGACTGGAGTATCAGGTATACTTTTGTTTTCAATTTAAAGTGATATTATGTTAATAGTATTCAAGTTAAGGAGAATAAAAGAATGGTTGAAAATGATTTAACTAACAGGTAAGGTCTTGGTTACTTGATGCCAACATTGATAAAAAGCTTATTTTTTAAAAAATGGGAATTGTGACTGTTTTTTTAACATTAGTTTTTTTAACTTCACATTCTGATAGGTCTTTACTTTTTTATAAATTCACTTTCTGATTGGTTGCAGTTTTTACTTTAGTTATTTATAAGCTCATAGGTTAATATATGTTGCAGTTTTTACTTTAGTTTTTCTGATCAGCTTTTAGGTTGATATTGAGAGATGTCCATGTAAGAGTGCAACATTATCTCCCACTTCTGTGACATTTTAACCTGTGCCTGCTTATTTGCATAGTCTCAATTTATAAAAATATTACAAGACCATATATATATATGTATATATATATATATATATACATATATAATATATATATAGATATATATAGATAGATAGATAGATATAGCCAATACTTGTAGCCAAAAAAACCCTGCTGACTCGTTTTTTTGCTTGGGGATGATTTAGCCCTTTTGTGACCTCCCCCATAAATATACCATAACATGTCCTCACTACATGAAAGTTATATGTAGTACTAGTACCTTTTAATGCCAAAATATTGTATACATATTTTGAAAATCTCCCCTCTGATACAGCAACAGTCTTTTGTGTCTATACTATAAGTAAGAGCAAAATTGTAGATAATTTTTTTCTTTCGTTATTAACATTGTATTAGTCATTTGAAGTCAGATTTGTAAATTCTGAAATGTAAGTTAAAAAAAAGAGGATGTTGTGTGTAATGACCACCATGAAGCCTGTCAAATGAACTTGTCTTGTCATAACTCATATGCAACATTGCTGTTAAATTAAATTTTTACCTTTATTGGACCAAGAACTGACATGTACTAAGCATAGTTAACAATGGCCAAATTGACAATTTTGTATTTTTTTCAAATACATCTAAGCTTAACTGTTAAGTATTAATTGTTTGTGATGGAGGGTTTACAATGTCCTTTCAATACTGTCTTCGCACTTCTTTATTTTAAAAAGAAAGCAATATGTAAGTTAGAGATAATTTTTTTCCTGGGTTTTACTTAAGTGGCTTTGTTGTTGGAAGAAAGGCTTTTCTCTTCATTCATAAATAACAAGTTTCACTTCTCATAGGTCCATATGTTTTACTTGGTGGATTTACACTGTGGATGATGTCCAAGGAAATCATGGTCATCGATCACTACTTCTGGGAGTTTCCCTCTTTCTGGGGTATGGTCTATATTTTAAACAAACACCCCAAAGTTGGCCCAAAACTCAAGAAGTGGTTAGCTGATTCATATGAGGTGGGTACCTTCTTGGACTTTGATACATTTAGTAGGATTGCACTGATTGAATGACAAAAACTATTTCTTTTTGCCAATTAATCGGAAATCAGCATTTTGTGACTCATTAATAAGTATAAGGCCTAATTTGAATGAAAGGAGCATGTCTGCTTTTATTGTGTTTTTATCAAATATGATGTTCCAAATAGGCTTGTATTTGCCTCTGAGCTTGCCAACACTTATTTACTTCCTCCCTCTCACCTGCCCCCCTCATTCATCGTTTTAGTTTTTTTTTTCTGTTAAGACAATGACAAGGACACCAAATAACACTACCCTTTTTTTCCAGAGTTTACACGACTTCAACCAACTCTTCCAATGAAATTTAAAACAATAGTTTTCTTTAACTTTGTGATGTTTGAAATAAGACATTACAAAAAGCTGGTAGCTGAGCATAACAGCAACAGCCTTCCCTGCTAGTATTTTACATTGACATCTTTTTTCAGAGAAACAAAAATTTAAATAACATTTAAAACAAAAGTGGCATTTTCAATTGAATTTTAAATGAAATAAATCATTTCAAAAAAATATACCATCTCATGAACATGTCAAATCACATGACTTCAGCCTTCATTCAAATCACATGACTTCAGCCTTCATTCGAATCACATGACTTCAGCCTTCATTCAAATCACATGGCATCATCCTTCATTCAAATCCCATGACTTTAGCCTTCATTCAAATCACATGACATCATCCTTCATTCAAAGCACATGACTTCATCCTTCAAATCACATGACTTCATCCTCCAAATCACATGACTCCAGCCTTTAAAAACATTTTCTGTTGAGCTGTGACAATGTTGACGCAGCACACCAGAGGAAAATGAAGAACTGAGCTGTGACAATGTTGACACAGCACACCAATGGAAGTGAAAAAACTGAGCTGTGACAATATTGACCCAGCATACCCGAGGAAAATGAAGAACTGAGCTGTGACAATGTTGACGCAGCACACCAGAGGAAAATGAAGAACTGAGCTGTCACAATGTTGACTCAACACACCAGAGGAAAATGAAGAACTGAGCTGTCACAATGTTGACTCAACACACCAGAGGAAAATGAAGAACTGAGCTGTCACAATGTTGACTCAACACATCTGAGGAAAATGAAGAACTGAGCTGTGACAATGTTGACGCAGCACACCAGAGGAAAATGAAGAACTGAGCTGTGACAATGTTGACACAGCACACCAATGGAAGTGAAAAAACTGAGCTGTGACAATGTTGACCCATCATACCCGAGGAAAATGAAGAACTGAGCTGTGACAATGTTGACGCAACACACCAGAGGAAAATGAAGAACTGAGCTGTAACAATGTTGACACAGCACACCAATGGAAGTGAAAAAACTGAGCGGTGACAATGTTGACCAGTACCATAGACATTCCTTAAACCTGATAAAATACTTGATATGGCTCCAATGCAGTTGATGATTTTATAAAATACTTGCTATTACTCTAAGGTTATTGATGTTTTTACTGTATTCATTAGACTCAAAAGAATATATTCTACACACGTCCCCTGAAAAGTATGAAAGATCAAGAAGCTGATAATATTGCAAGGAATGAACGTTTGATTGAGGAGACAGAAACAGCTAAGCACATCTATCTTGCTCAGAAGGTGGGTCTTTGATTGTAGTGTTGTAGTGTTTTTATGCTTGAGAAATTGTCTTATAAGAGGAGTTTCAGAAGTGGTATCCGAAGGTAGTATGGCAGGTAATGCTGTCCTATGATGACATGACAGGTCTAGTCGAATTGTCCTGTGATGACATGACAGGTCTGGTAGAGCTGTCCTTTGATGACAAGACAGGTCTAGCAGTGCTGTCCTATGATGGCATGAAAGGTCTAGTCGTGCTGTCCAATTATGACATGAAAGGTCTAGCAGAGCTCCCCTGTAATAACATGACAGGTCTAGTAGAGTAGCCCTATAAGATTTCTAGCAGTGCTGTCCTATGATGACATGACAGGTATAGAGTTGTCCTGTGATGACATGACAGGTCTAGCAGTGCTGTCCTTTGATGACAAGGCAGGTCTAGCTAGCTGTTTTATGATGACATGACAGTTCTAGCAGTGATGTCCTATGATGGCATAACAGTTCTAGTAGTGCTGTCCTATTATGACATGACAGGTCTAGCAGAACCGTCCTATGATGACATGACAGGTCTAGTAGAGCAGTCCTGTGACATGGCAGGTCTAGCAGCGCCGGCCTATGATGACATGACAAGAGGTTAAATAGCCAGTATTTAATATTACTGTTAATTAGAATTTGTATTTGATATATTTCTGACAATAAATAATCCTTAGTACTCAGTGGAAGATGAGACCATTATATCATAGTACAATGTAGAAGATGAGACCATTATATCTTAGTACAATGTAGAAGATGAGACCATTATATATTAGTACAATGTAAAAGATGAGACCATTATATCTTAGTACACTAGAAGATGAGACCACTATATCATAGTACACTAGAACATGAAACCATTATATCATATTACACTGTAGAAGATGCAACCATTATATCTTAGTACACTGTAGAAGATGCAACCATTATATCTTAGTACAATGTAGAAGATGAGACCATTACATCAAGGTACACTAGAAGATGAGACCAGTATATCATAGTACACTGTAGAAGATTAGACCATTATATCATAGTACAATGTATAAGATAAGACCATTATATCAAAGTACACTAGAAGATGAGACCATTATATCTTAGTACACTGTAGAATATGAGACCATTATATCCTAGTACAATGTAGAAGATGAGACCAGTATATCATAGTACACTGTAGAAGATTAGACCATTATATCATAGTACAATGTATAGGGGTGTGCCGGATCCGTTTTTTCCAACCGGATCCGGATCCGGATTTTCTTATGCGAAATCCGCCGGATCCGGATTCCGGTTTCTCCCGGATTCCGGATTTTGGTACTATTGGTAGATACTTCGGTAAGTCAAGGTGGACTACTACTTTTTGTGTATGGGAATTCGCAATCGGCGCCAAAAAATCCGAGTTTTTAATTTTCCGATGTGTGTGTCTATTTATTATTAAATTAGTACTTTCGATATATATTTGAGTTCCGTTCCATTTGGATAAGTGTCTTACGAGAGACGCCATGTTTCTACGCGTTCGCAGCAGGTTATGCAGCTCGCTCAACCTAATTTCGCCATGGGGTTGGCCACGCCCCCCTTTTTAATGGCGGAAGTTGACGATACTTAGGAAATATTAATTTATTATCACTATTTACATCAAAATAATTGATAACTTGTGTTTCAGAATGCATTTAAAGACATTTAAACTGGAATGTTTTAATTTGAGCTTTAACAACCCGGTAGAATCCATATTATAAATGATCAGAATTTACCGTGTGCAACACGTTGTCATTGGCAACCATTCACAGCCACTTGCATAACTGTATCGTAGTACTACCTCAGAGTTTCATTCATAAGAGTTTGCCGTGTGCAAAAACTATTAAACCATTGGTCAGGGAAAGCTTTAATTAATTATTCATGTGCCAAAGTTGAAAGTTTAAACTAAGTCTAAACAGTATTTTAGTGATAAGGCAGGGAATGCGTTGCCTTATATAAACTATATAGTCATTGCGCATGACGGGATTGGTGGAATGAGATCACAGAATGTGGAGATGCAGTCCATGTTAAAAAATGACAAACCAAGTCGTACTTTAAAAATTCATAACTTTAAAACTACAACAGCTAAAAATATGATTTTGGTGTTATAATTCTTTAAAAAATTACATCTTTTCAACTATGCCATTGGTTTATTTTTACAAAAAGTTTAAATTTTCTTATCAAAGTCCCTACACTATTGGCCACTATTAGCGGTGCTGACTCTAGCCTCTGGTATGTACGGAATATTAAACATTAAACAAGCTCAACGCTCGAAACAATCGATTAATGTATCGTGATCGTGTGAAATTCGGGAAAGAGAATTACTTTTATTTCAGATTATGATCCGGTGAGTCACAAAATCTGGCAAATTCCGAAATCCGGTATATTCCGGATTCCGGAATCCGGTTGTTCCGGATAGATGTAAATCCGGCGGAACCGGATTTCACCGGATAGTGCAAAATCCGGCGGAACCGGATTCCGGACCGGGGTCCTGCACACCCCTAACAATGTATAAGATAAGACCATTATATCATAGTACACTAGAAGATGAGACCATTATATCTTAGTACACTGTAGAAGATGAGAACGTTATATCATAAAATGGAGTGTTATGCTAAATAATGTTGAATATCTTACAGGAAGGTGTACAACTTCAGCTGGAGGCTGCTTACAGACAAAGGCTGCAGAATGCCTTCCTGGACGTCAAGAAACGACTGGTGATTATTACTTTTGTCTTCTTAATCCTCTCATTATTTTTGTGAAAGTGGCTGAGTTCCAGCAGCAGACTGATGAGTTACTGCCAATGATAGAAAGGAAAGTTTAGCTTGTCAATAAATTATTTAAAATTTCTAAAAACTGAACTAAGAGAATATTATTTTGTGCGTCTAAAACAAAGTTACAAAGTTGCTGTGAGTTGAAGGCAGAAACAACCCAGTAGCACAATTAAGCTCACTGTTAAAAGTAACAATTCATAGTCACCTTAGTGACACATGTAACATAGTTCCCAAGTATACCATAGGATTCCATCTCCAATTTACTCTTGGAATATGTCTACATATAAGGGCCTCTGGAGTCATTTTCCCTTAGTTTTCAGCAATTTAGTGATACAAGTCTAATTGACCTAATAAGTTGGTCAACAACGTAGATGCTACAGAAAACTGCACTATTTGTTTTCATGGATCAACATTAAGATTTTTGTGAATTCAGTTAAACATTTTTTTATTTAGTTTACAATCTTATGACTAAGCTTTCTCTATGGGGATAACCGATTCTCCATAGAATTAAAGCTAGCTTTCTCTTTGGGGATAGTTGATTCTCTGTAGAATTAAAGCTAGCTTTCTCTTTGGGGATAGTCGCTTCTCTGTAGACTTAAAACTAGCTTTCTCTTTGGGGATAACAGATTCTCTGAAGAATTAAAGCTAGTTTAAATTTTTCTTAAAAATTATATATGTTTTGGGGACTTTCTCCCATCTTGGGAAATCTTAGAATACTATCTATCAGAAATTCAATTTTCTTGTTTTTTTACTACAAATTAATGTTCACAAGAAGATTGATGTTCATTTTTTTTTACTTCTGATACTTTAAATTCAGAAACAACATTTAAAAAAATAATTAATACAGTAAATAAATTATTTACTCACTCTTTTATCAGTAACACATTATTGTACTCAAAACAGAGGGGTGAGACATGTGGCAAAAACTTAAATATTTTCTAAGCACTAATTGAAAATAAAGTTTCTCCCTCTACAACTTGCCAGTAAATCCAACAAGATCTAAACAAAAATTAATTCAAATGTCATTTTTGAAATGTAAATCAAATTGTTTATAGTGAAAAGAGATGCATTTATTCATTCATCCATGAAGCCAAAGGCAGACTCATGTTATATCTTGTGGGCACTTGTGTGTCATCTTGTGTATACTCTTCTTTGTATCATCGAATGATTGACTGATTGTATTTCTTTCCCCTAGGACTATGAGGTTGAGAAGACCAATGTGAGAAGAAAGTTTGAGCAGGACCACATGGTCAACTGGATTGTGTCAAGTGTGACCAAGAGCATCTCACCACAGCTGGTAAGTCACTTTCTGTCACAATGCAATTTGAGCATTACAACTAGTAGAGAAACATTGTGCAATGTTATGCAATTTTAGCATTACAACTAGTAGAGTAACATTGTGCAATGTTAGCATTTGTCTATGGTTTGTTAAAATAATGTTTAACAGTAATTAAAGCTGTAAATCATTTGATGATTGGAGTTAGTTCCCTTTGAATGTAGTTGTTTTAAGTGAAAGTGAGTTGGGAAGCCAGCAAGAATCAGTAAACAATGTGGTAGAATTATGCAAATGATGTTGCAGAATTATTCAAATGATTGGCAGAATTATGCAAATGAATTTAAACAAAGTGAGAGCCTTTGGACCTTTCAAAAGATAATGTGTAAAATGGTGCTTTGATAAATCTACATTGGCCTTGTCTTCAGTTGCTACTTCCATTGGGCTTGAAAGTGCAACATATGAATTTTAGATAACTAATCCTAACATTTCATTATTAATCATCATTACAGTGTTAACTGTTTTTGTTGAGCGTTTGCAAGAGCTATTAATTCTAATTTAAAACATGTAAATAGTTATAAGTTAAAAATAACTTCCTAAACAATTAGGACCATGCAAATAATTATAATTCTGTATAAATAATTATTCTTACCATTTAAATTTAATATTCTCTTGGCCATGTACATTACATAAACATAATATTATTTCAAAAAAATGTTTTTTATATCAGTGGCAAACAGAATCTTAAAAACAAAGGCATATATCATCTTGTTGTCCCAAATAAATTGTGACCATATCTAAATAGTTTGATTTTAAAAGGCAGATGAAACAATTAATCAGTCAAAATTAATGTATGTTACTTAATTTTTTCAGTTTTGATTATGTTTGTTAAATTGTATGTGCAGTGGGGTGAGCCCAGCCCAGGGTGGGGTACCATGCTATATAACACCACTTATAATAATAATAATACAAATTAGGGACATTGGCCCATTAGGTACATGTCAGTTTTTTTGCCAATCAAATGTTTCCAGCCTTGTTATTTGTCTCAAGTATCCTGTTATTGAGTTATGAAATACAAGGTACACATGCTAATTGAGTATTATTGCACCTATAAACCTGTAATTGTGCTATAATAGGCTATAGTGTAGGGCTGCACAGATTTATCGGGCAATAATTTGCAACGATCATCGTAATCAGTCACACTCTGAGTTAAATGAATGCTGTGACTATTTCCCTCACTCTCAGAATCAATATGTCTTCCGTACATAGCCTCCCAGTGGGGGGTGCACCCCCATCACCCCCATCTAACAATTGGCAACCATGTTTATGAAATAGTGTAATACATACTCACAATTTATGTTTAGGTTCTTATAATTTAGGCATTTAAATTCTAAATAAAAAATAATAAATGAGCTGATGATTCATCAACATAGGCTGATGATATGAGTAACTGATGGGTCATCTACCGATTTGTTGATTGGTGCAGCCCCACTAATGGGGGACTGATTGGTGCAGCCCCACTAAAGGGCGACTGATTGGTGCAGCCCCACTAAAGGGGGACTGATTGGTGCAGCCCCACTAAATGGGGACTGATTGGTGCAGCCCCACTAAATGGGGACTGATTGGTGCAGCCCCACTAATGGGGGACTGATTGGTGCAGCCCCACTAATGGGGGACTGATTGGAGCAGCCCCACTAATGGGGGACTGATTGGTACAGCCCCACTAAAGGAGACTGATTGGTGCAGCCCCACTAAATGGGGACTGATTGGTGCAGCCCCACTAATGGGGGACTGATTGGTGCAGCCCCACTAATGGGGGACTGATTGGTGCAGCCCCACTAATGGGGGACTGATTGGTGCAGCCCCACTAATGGGGGACTGATTGGTGCAGCCCCACTAAAGGAAGACTGATTGGTGCAGCCCCACTAAAAGGGGACTGATTGGTGCAGTGCCCCTAAAGGGTCACCTGATTTAATAGTCGTAAAACTGAATGAATTCTTGTAAATTTATTTATTCTAAACAATATGAATGAATTAACTAGTGTAGAATTTTTTGGATGAAATCAACATACAAAGAGTCCTAAATGTAGCCTTGGGTGTGTGTCAACATACAAAGAGTTCTAAATTTCGCCTTGCGTGTGTGTATTTTGGTAAATACCATCTTTCAAACCCTTTCTATAGTCATTCTGTCGACATTGATATTTGCATTGATTAAGTGTTTTGTAACTTGATGAATAATTTCATGTTTGCTTATTTTCAGGAGAAGGAAAGCATCAAAGTCTGCATACAGACACTAAAGGGACTTGCTTCCAAGCAGAAAGTCGCTGTAGCTTAGATGTATTATTATTATAGGATTAAACAAAATTGAAATTGAGGAATCGACTAGTGTGACAACAAATATATTTAACATAGTGCATAAGTTGGCTTGAAGAAGATGTACATTGAGTATCTATTTATCTTCTACTTTGTACTGTTTTCAAGTAATTTTGGATAATGGTTATTTGTATTCTAATAAACTACGGATTAAAATAACCATTAAAATTGGCATTTGATGATTGTGTCATTAAAATTAGAGTTATAAATGAAAAGCGGCATTTGATGACCGTGTGTCATTAACAATAGAGCTATGAATGAAAGTCTTATTTACATTAAAATGTATTCACTGAAGCAGCAATAAAAGCCCTTGCCGTTCATTTTATTTTTGACCTGACATCAGAGAAATAAAACAGCACTCTGCTTTTTTTCTAGACGAGAAGTCTTCTTGATTGCCCAGGGTGCCCTATGTAAATTAGACCAAATGCTTTCCCTTGTAACAACTACAGACATGATGGTATTCTTAAATTACATGATTGGATTCATGATTGACATGATGGAAGACATGATCGGATTCATGTTGACATGATGGGAGACATGATTGACATGATGGGAGTTATGAGTGACTTGATGGCAGTCATGATTGACATGATGGGAGTCATGATTGACATAATGGCCTTTCACATTGACATGATGGGATTCATGATGGAAGACATGATTTGATTCATGATTACATGATGAGATTCATGATTGCCATGATCGGAGTTATGATTGGCATGATCTGAGTCATGATTACATGATGAGATTCATGATTGAAAACATGATGGGATTTGTGATGGAAGATATGCTTTGATTCATGATTGACATGATTGGACTCATGATTGACATGATGGAGTCATGGTTGACATGATGGACTTACACATTGACATGATGGGATTCATGATGGAAGACATGATGGGAGTTACGATTGACATGATTGGATTCATGATTGACATGATGGCCTTACACATTGCTGGCATCCGTCCATCACAATGTGACAATGGAGTGGGCTTCGGAGGACGAAATCCACATGGCCTGGGATTACTCTTCAAGGATTATAAGCTGGTTCCCAATAGCAAATTGCCTTTCTCCACGCCGCTGGGTAACCCAAGGGAACATCATGTGGATGATACAGATTGGCACCAGTGACGTCGCAGGAGTTGCCGGAATGTTTCATAATATCAATGTTATCCGCCTTTCGGGACTCCATCTCCGGGTTTGATTTCAGAGTTTCCTTCTCTTAGATGAGTTGCCGTCCAAGGTTAACGAGTCCCATCCACCCCGGGTGCTGGTCGTGTTTTTGCTTGACTGGGCTCTTACACATTGACATGATTGGATCCATGATGGGAGTTATGATTGACATGATTGGATTCATGATTGACATGAAGGATACATGATTATTGTCAACCGGTGGATTTTTCTGCTTCTTGTGGAAAAGTAATTACATTATGTTTTTGGGATTCTGGAAATAATGAAATAATTCTTGGATAAAAACATGTTTTGCATAAATTTGTTTATTATTTCAAGAGAACATAAACAGAATCAATTAATCATAAAAGTGCAAACATTTTGACATTGATTTCATACACTGTATTTTCATTTTAAACTTATTATATTTTTTAATAATATTGTGTGTGTACTTTGACATTTGATTACTTACAAAAAATTTATGTAAAACTAGCTGTGACATTTCACTTCAGTAATATTACCTGTACAGATTCATGTGTTGGCATCAGTACAGTCAGTGGCACATGTTAAAGTCATGCTGTTCTTGTGTTGGCATCAGTACAGTCAGTGGCACATGTTAAAGTCATGCTGTTATTCTTGTGTTGGCATCAGTACAGTCGCTGGCACATGTTAAAGTCATGCTGTTGTTCTTGTGTTGGCATCAGTACAGTCAGTGGCACATGTTAAAGTCATCCTGTTATTCTTGTGTTGCCATCAGTACAGTCACTGGCACATGTTAAAGTCATGCTATTATTCTTGTGTTGGCATCAGTACAGTCAGTGGCACATGTTAAAGTCATGCTGTTGTTCTTGTGTTGGCATCAGTACAGTCGGTGGCACATGTTAAAGTCATGCTGTTATTCTTGTGTTGGCATCAGTACAGTCAGTGGCACATGTTAAAGTCATGCTGTTGTTCTTGTGTTTCTCACAGATAAAACAATTGCAGGCTGGTTGATGATGTACAGTGTTGCATGCAACAGATACTCTTGCAATGGATGATGTACAGTGTTGCACACAACCGATACACTTGCAATAGATGATGTACAGTGTTGCACACAACAGATACTCTTGCAATGTATGATGTGCGGTGTTGCATGCAACAGTTACTCTAGCAGTACAATAGCTCTAACGACTTGAAGATCCTGGCCATTTGTGCTACTGGTCAATGGTAGAATGTTTGGTTTTATTGTTTGATCAGTTCCATGCTTAACTCCAAAAGGATTTGGGAAATCTATCTACCACTTGCCTCACTTTTGTTAACCCACATTAACTACCGCTTGTTACCCACATTCTTTACTGTTTGTTGCCCACATTTTCTGCTGTTTGTTACCCACATTCACTGCTGTTTGTTACCCACATTCTCTGCTGTTTGTTACCCACATTCTCTGCTGTTTGTTACCCATATTCTATGGTTTGTTTGTTACCCACATTAACTGCTGTTTGTTACCAACATTCTCTGAGGTTTGTTACCCACATTCACTGCTGTTTGTTACCCACATTCACTGTGGTTTGTTACCCACATTCACTGCTGTTCACCCTCTAGAACGGTGATCAAAGATATTTCTTAACAGAATAAAATGAGTAAAACTGAGTATGGTTTAACCTGAAAAATTAAACGCAACAAAACAGCGAACGTGTCGGCAGAAAGCCTTCGTCAGCGAACAAAACAACAGAAAAAACGTTATAAAAATAAGAAATAGCACTTAGCTGGTAAGTAGTATCTGTGGGCAGCAATAGAAGTGTGGCAGAAGGAAAATGAGTGAGAGTTTAAATAAGCAGCGGCGAAAAAAGTGGGGAGAAAAAAGTTCACTGTGATAGGTCAGAACGTGGAGGGGCGGAGCTAGGGTCAAGCTGTATTTCTTAACAGGTAGTTACTTAATGTTTATAATCGAATGCTGTAACTGTAACCCTAATTGCCGAGTGTATCGTATCTTCAAATATATCGACTGTAGCGATATTTTATTGGTTCCAATTTTAGTTAAATACAGACAGTGACATACAGACTTAGTGAAGTACTGACATAGAGAAATCCAGACATATGATATTGAAAATTGAAATACAGACGTAGTCCTTATTTGATAATGTAAACCAGAATTTAAAAACTGCTACCACTTTACCAAGGCCGTACATTGCGTTTGAATAATGGACCACAGATGACGTCATATCAACTAAAACTTTTATAATAAGTTTTCTGTTTTAAAAAAGTTGATTTACGGTACGGGTACAGTTGATAGATTGATCAAAGTTGAGGTATGGTACCGGTATAGCTGATAGATTGATCAAAGTTGAGGTATGGTAATGGCATATCTGATAGATAGATCAAAGTTGAGGTATGGCACCGGTATAGCTGATAGATTGATCAAAGTTGAGGTATGGTACCGGTATAGCTGATAGATTGATCAAAGTTGAGGTATGGCAATGGCATATCTGATTGATAGATCAAAGTTGAGGTATGGCACCGGTATAGCTGATAGATTGATCAAAGTTGAGGTATGGTACCGGTATAGCTGATAGATTGATCAAAGTTGAGGTATGGCAATGGCATATCTGATTGATAAATCAAAGCTGAGGTATGGCACCGGTATAGCTGATAGATTGATCAAAGTTGAGGTATGGTAATGGCATATCTGATAGTGATAGATAGATCAAAGTTGAGGTATGGTAATGGCATATCTGATAGATTGATCCAAGTTGAGGTATGGTAACGTCATATCTGACAGATAGATGAAAGTGGAGGTATGGTAATGGCTTATCTGATAGATTGATCAAAGTTGAGGTATGGCACCGGTATAGCTGATAGGTTGATCAAAGTTGAGGTATGGCACGGGTATAGCTGATAGATTGATCAAAGTAATGCCTTTAATGGGTTAAAACCCTTTTTTTTTTTGGGGGGGGGGGGGGGCAGGGATGGGTTTATGTCCCCCCAAAAGATGGCAGACAGATGGATACACGTTTGAGAACCGTGTCTTTAAATTGAGTCAATTCCAAGATTGTGGCGGGATGGGTATGATAGGTTGATCAAAGTTGAGGTATGGCACGGGTATAGCTGATAGATTGATCAAAGTAATGCCTTTAATGGGTTAAAACCCTTTTTTTTTTGGGGGGGGGGGGTGGCATGGATGCGTTTATGTCCCCCCAAAAGATGGCAGACAGATGGATACACGTTTGAGAACCGTGTCTTTAAATTGAGTCAATTCCAAGATTGTGGCTGGATGGGTGTGTGGTCAAAATGAGTCAATTCTAAACTTGTGGCTGGATGGATGTGGGGTTAAAACGAGTCAATTCTAAACTTGTGGCTGGATGGATGTGTGATAAAACGAGTCGATTCTAAAAGTGTGGCTGGATGGCTGTGGGGTCAAAATAAGTCAATTCTAAACTTGTGGCTGGATGGGTTTGTGGTCAAAATGAGTCAATTCTAAACTTGTGGCTGGATGGATGTGGGGGTGAAAATAAGTCAATTCTAAACTTGTGGCTGGATGGATGTGTGGTTAAAACGAGTCAATTCTAAACTTGTGGTTGGATGGATGTGTGGTAAAACGAGTCAATTCTAAACGTGTGGCTGGATGACTGTGTGGTTAAAATGAGTCAATTCTAATCTAGTAGATGTGTGGTCAAAATGAGTCAATTCTAAACATGTGGCTGGATGGATGTGTGATTAAAATGAACCAATTTCAAATTGGAGGCTGGAGAGTTGTGTGGTAAAAATGAGTCAATATCAAACTTGTGGATTGAAGTTTCATCCCCAGAAAGACAAGTCAAACGAATTGAAGGGTGTATCTATAAAGTAACAACCATGTGTTTATTTATACAATAACACATGATGGGTTATTGCTTGGTGTAAAAATTGATGGGCCTTACACAAAAAGGATGGCCCTATTTGTTTGAGCCACACACTTTCTTAAATCGTTTACACATTGGTCATCCTGATGCATTAAAAAAGCCTAATTTATATTTTCGTTAAATCTGAGTTTGGTCATATTGGATGAAGCCTGCCCTAATCTGATATCTCAGTTCAGCAGACCCGGCCGCTGTGCTAACAATGAGCGTGCTAGAGGGATCATGTCAACACTGCTTACTGACGGCGACAGGCGCCAAGTCTCATGGCTTTAGTCATGCCAAGTACTCATGGTTTTAATCATGCCAAGTACTCATGGTTTTAATCATGCCAAGTACTCATGGTTTTAATCATG